CCCTCTCCTTTTCGAAATCAAATGGTCGTCCCCTTATTGAAAGCTAATGGGAGAACGTCATCAATAGTCTTAGAAAAGTATGATCATAAACAGCATTACCGTAAAAACTAAGATTCTACTGGTACAGCATGTTTTACTACCTTACTGTATTTTGTAGAAAGTCTTTAAGAAAAGGATTATACATTCTGTATATGCCTGTCCCAAGTCAGTATCGTGACGGTATTTAAGTGGTTGTCGTTGGTTCATGTTTGTCATAATTTTTTTGGTAAATTGTTTAGTTATTTTGGCTGTTAGTTTTCTCAAATTATTTAAAATTTTCCATATCGGGGCATTTTATAGCCGACCATACGGTATGGGCTTTCTCATTGTTAAAGGCCGTACGGTTGCCTATAAATGCTTACTTCCACATCTCCTTATTTTTATATTATACAACTAGTATTACATAAAATTAACATTATCAATGTTCCATGTAAATGAGGTAAGGTCAGATTAACTCTGCCACAAAGACATGTACACCCTGCTACCATTCCATACACCAAAAGTATTTGACCTACTACTTATAGCGTCTGAGATACGGACTTGACCACTGAAACTTAACCTTGTTCATAGATCCATAAAATGAGGTCGAGGTCATGTGAACTATGATGTCTGACGGACATGTAGACATTGCAAGGATACCATATATTAGTAACTAAGTATAGTTATCCTGGAACTTATGATAAATGAGACATTCAAATGACGAAAACAAGCTATACAGTTCTTAGCAGTCAATAAAACCATGAAAATGAAGTCAAGGACAATGATTATATGACAGACGGAAACTTCGTAACACAATGGATCTATATATAAAATATAAATCATCCGATTCCTCTACCCCCTGAAATACAAAGCTTTACAAATAGTTAATGGTGTTACCGTCACCATCAGATTGTATTCTGTATGATAAAGAATCTTGTGTAAATGGCATCTGACTTCACTGGTAAAAGTGCAAAGATAAGTGGAAACATCTCTCCATCAACAAGTGCTTGTATAGTGTACAGCGTAATTAAGTTTACACTTTTCTTTAAATTGCATGTATTATATCTTTATTTTTTTTTTAACTTTAGAAAAAAATTAATTAAAATCATAGTATTGATATTTGTTTTATATAAATAAACGTAACCTTATAGATATAATTCATAAATGTTATATTATTTACTCAAAAGAGCATTAATCTGATGATATACAAAAAAAAAAATCATATTTTATGCTTTTTTAAAATTTATATTAAATAAAAGTTTGAACATGCAATAATTAATTCTTGTTTATTAAGCAAAACAAACAATATATACCTTGTTTATTTAAGAATATTTTACTTCATAAAATAATGTGGGACAATCAGAACTTTTCATGTGGGACAATCAGAACTCTATAATTTTAAAAAGTGGGACAATCGGGAATAAACCGGCACATGGCAGGTGCGTTCGCCTCTAATCTTAAATTGCCAGGATTGTCAGTTTTTTTTTACCGAAGGTCGTGGTTCTCTCCGGGCACTCCGGCTTCCTCCACCAATAATAACAGACCGCCACGAAATAGCGCAATAGTGCTGAAAGTGGCGTTAAACAACAATCAATCAATCGATCAATTACTGGAGACAAACCATAACTTAATAAAAAGAGGTAAATTTAAGGTGATCAACACTTTCATTTGTTTGTTTAAATTCCAAACAACGTCAACATTGTAGGAATTTTTATATAAGCATTTGCCATTATAAAACATTTTTATTTTCAGTATGAGATGAACATTAATTAATGAAACAAATAAACAACTTAGGGACGACATCAAAAGTTCAATGTAGGATAAAAAACTTAATTCACATAGTTTTTTTCACTGACCCCCCACCCCCCTCTTAACTTAATTTGGGAAAAATTGATTGACCAATATGGAAAATCGATTTTGGATAATCAAAACTTGCAGCAATTTTAACCCACCCCCCACCTCCAAACTATTTGATTTAAGTTTTTTTTATCCTACATTGATCTTTCGATGTCGTCCCTTAAAGATATAGTTTTTATAAATTTAACACATAATTACTTCTACTGTGTAAATCTTATATTTCTTGTTAATCTTAATCTTAAAGAACTTAGTTCTGTAATTGTGAAGTGTATAATTTCACTTTCAGTGAATAAATTCAAAGTGTTATTGTATGTCCCAATATAGAACGCAAGATCCAGGACTGTTTGTGATCTAATGATAACGTCACAACAATATGCATGAATATCTTAATTTAAATAAACCATAAGCTTGCTTTAACTCGTATCTTTCTAGTATTAGCAGTCATCAAAATTTAATTATGAGAATTGATTTTTTTGTTTTTAAAAGCGTTGATCGAAATGATCACACAATAAAACCAATTTTATTATATTGTAGTGAAATCTGGGGTACCTTTAAGATTAACTCTGCTGCTTGCAAGAAAAAAAGTGATTATCTATTTGAATTAATTTACATAAATGATTATTTGGAAAAATCACATTTCAGGTATCTAAAATATATTCTTGGTGTAAATAAAAAAGCCTCAAATTTGGCAGTGTTATCAGAGGTTGCAAGATTTCCTCTTTATTTTTCTGTCATTATATCTATGGTAAAATATGTACACAGGCTTAACAAATTGGACGATGGGTTACTTTATGATGCTTATGTTTGTAATAAAATTTTAGATGCAGGAAACATTAATTGTTGGTATTCATCTATGAGATATGTCCTTCAATCACTTGATATACAAAATTTGAATACAAAGCTCAATAGATTAATTAAATTTGTAAAATGTAAACTTTGTAACAGTTTTAAAACATTTTGGGGGGTCAAAAGATCTGATACCTTATCACAAGGTAATAGTAAATTAGAAAATTATTTCAACCTCAAGACTGACTTCGTAAAGGAGGCTTATTTATCAATTAAAGATTTTAATATAAGAAGAGCTATATGTAAATTGAGAATAAGTGCACATGATCTTAAAATTGAGAAAGATAGGTATAGTAAAAAATACATAGAGAGAAGTCAGCGTCTATGTCATCACTGCCTATCACATGGATCAAATTCTATTGAAGATGAGACCCATTTCACAGTAAGTTGTCCTTTATATAACGAACAGAGAAAATTATTATGGGATAAAGTAAACAGTTTTTGTAATAATTTTAAAGAATTACCCAAGGATAAAAAATATTTCTGGCTGTTCACAAATGAGCATTTACCAACTCTTATGTGCCTAGGCAATTATATAATTAAGTGTTTAGAAATAAGATCCAGGTGGATACAAAATATATAAAATTATTATGCAATTATTGTTAATGTTATGTAAGACACATGATGTGTTAGGCTCTGATCCTGTCCAATATATGATAATATTATATTAGGATATAGTTTTTCTTTTTTCCAATCATATTGTGCTTAATATTGTTGTAAATGATGCCCTTTATGGGTTCTTGATTAGATTAATAAAATTCTAAAAAAAAAAAAAAAATTCTATTGTAAGCTAACTATTTTAGTGGGAAAAAAACTAGTATTTCATGTGGAGTTCTCATTATTTCTTGCTTAATACTGCTCATTACTGACGTTTTTCCTAATTTAACATCTTCGATACTTTGAATAAAAGGTGGGGTTTAAAGTAAAACAACAAAAATATCGAACTCCAAAGAAAATTCAAAACGGAAAGTCCCTTAACAATTTGCCAAATCAAAAGCTCAAACACATCAAACGTCAATAATACAGCAACACAACAACACAAAGCAAACAAAAGACATCTAGAGGTCAATGTACGGTCTTCAACAATAAACTGATGTCTATTTCGCATTGATAATCTAGTAGAGGACATGTCAATTATATTTAAAGGCAAAACGTCAGACATCGCTGAATACTCGTACACTAGTATTGTCTTTTATTTTCAGTTTTGGTGAATATTTTCTGGCATCTGTAATATTGGAATTACAGCTTGCTGAGGTTCCTTTATTCTTCTCTAGCCACCCTATAATCAAAGTTTTCATGCTAAAACAAGACATTATCATACTTTCTTCTTGTTCCGGAATAGGAATACTATATTTAGATAAATGTGTGTGCTGCTTGGATAAATTTAACATTGACACCTTAAAAAGATATGATAAAATATTCTTCGAATTCACGGTAAAGACAGAACCGTTCTGTTTTGTTTCAACATGTTAATAGTTGAGTATAATATAACAAATAATCCGACATAAAAATAGATTCTTTTGTATACATGTTTTTTTTTGTATTTCAATAGTCATATTTATACGTTTGATGCTAAAAATGTATCTGTAGCATGTCTTTTTAATAAACTACCTACATTTCAAATTGCAATTTTAGGGAAATTCGGTGTATCTTTATTCATGATGAAAGGTAAACGACGATTTCGATGTTAAGAATATCTTGTCATCGTTATATATTTGTCGAAATGTCAATGTTGGTACATGTTTCTGCAGAAATTGACACCTGTGTAAAACAGGAATTGTTATTCTGCTACATGTATTTCGGTTTTTGTTGTAGTCAATACTATCCGGCTTTCTACCAGACCATCCAGTTTGTAGTTTCAATTTGAAGACCAAAACATAAATTGGAAGTCAAACAGCTTTTAACATTGAATAATTATGTATTGTTCAATCATCGTTAACATATCCGGAATACACGTTAAATTATTTCCAATAGCTTTTATGCTTTGATTATTGATCTAGTAACAAACTGTGTATAACTAGGGAATAGTATATAATAGAAAAATCAATGACTGTGTATAGAATGAGTTACGAAACAATAACATTCTAAGCCGTTGGTTGACACTTAGTAAAGCAACCTAAAGCTGTTTATACCAATAATGTATATTCGTTAAGCCGAAAATAAATGACTAACATCACTGTCCAAAGCTCTAGTGGGTTTGTAGCAATTTTTAAAATGTTATTGATAAATTTTCAATGAGAGAAATCTAATTATATCTACCTTGTCCCGCCTCTTGTTGTAAATTAATAAAAAATCAATATCGAATCGTACATTTCTGCATTCAAGAAGAGACTACCGCATAGATTGTTAAGTGAGAAACAGCGACGACCAAGGGAAGCTGTTCTTCCAATCTGTTGATTGCCTCCCTCTGACGAAAGTCGCATGAGAACATGTGGATGTAACAGATTACGCGTGTGCAAGAGAGTGCAAGCAGACGATATTACCCCAAAATATGACGAAGCTATGGATTATTACATGAAAGGGGATAGTTTTGAACGGGAGAAATATGGAATATCTAGAAGATGTTAATCATTGTAGTATGAGATAATTTCAACAAATTTAAATTACGGAAAGTAAAGAAAAATGTTTTGACATATTGATACAGACGACATAATAGATAAAGGATGCTGTCTAGTATACTATAGCGAATATAACAATCACGGTAAGGCAAATTAGAACATGTTTTTTTCGAATTTAATATCAAAGCGCGAATGTTTTTTTAATTGAACCTGATGATAAGTAGGATCTCGGATCCTAGTAATAGGTCTCTCTTTCCAAAATTGTCTGTCTACCGGAATTTGAGGAGTCGGTGAGTGAGGACTCGGCAATTGACATGGCATCTGTTGCCGCCTGGTTGCCGTTTGCACGGGCCTCGGCCATAGGATGGGTACCTGTGGCCCAAAATCCTCTTCCTCAACCAATTGTTCAATCGGGACAACCGTCATCTACAAACTTAAAAAGAGGAGATGACAGAATAACTATAAATGTAAGCGGAACAAAATTTGAAACCTGGAGAACAACTCTTGAGAAATATCCAGATACATTATTAGGTTCAAATGAAAAAGAATTTTTCTTTGATGATGAAAATAAGGACTACTTTTTTGATAGAGATCCAGAACTATTTAGGCATATTTTAAATTACTATAGAACTGGCAAATTACATTATCCAAAACATGAATGTATTTCATCATACGACGAAGAACTAGCATTTTTCGGTATTATGCCCGATCTTATAAGAGACTGTTGTTATGAGGATTACAGAGACAGAAAAAGAGAAAACCAAGAAAGATTGTTGGATGATAAAGGGTCTGAAAATGACGAGCTTGACCCAGCAAAAAACCTCAGGGAGCGATTTTGGAGAGCGTTTGAAAACCCTCATATTAGTACTGCAGCTTTAGTTTTTTATTATGTCACTGGGTTCTTCATAGCCGTATCAGTACTAGCTAATGTTGTAGAAACTATTCCCTGTGGTAGAATACCTGGAACAGACAAATTCCCTTCGTGTGGGGAGCGCTATGAAGTTGCTTTCTTTTGCTTAGATACCGCTTGTGTGATGATTTTCACAGCCGAATATCTTCTTCGTTTTTATGCAGCTCCAGATAGATGTTTATTTTGTCGTAGTGTCATGAGCGTCATTGATGTAGTAGCTATTCTTCCATATTATATTGGACTAGGAATCACGGACAACGATGACGTAAGCGGGGCATTCGTCACACTTCGAGTTTTCCGAGTATTCCGTATTTTCAAATTTTCTCGACATTCACAAGGATTACGTATATTGGGATACACATTAAAAAGTTGTGCCAGTGAATTAGGATTCTTACTATTTTCTTTAACAATGGCCATTATTATTTTCGCCACAGTGATGTTTTATGCAGAAAAGAATGTTCCCAACACGAAGTTCACAAGTATCCCGTCTGCATTCTGGTATACAATAGTAACCATGACTACTCTTGGGTAAGTAAATTCAATAATGATAATTAGTGTTGCATATTTCACGCTATATACCAGTGACTATCATTAGCTATATCACAACAATTACATCTATGTGCTGTTTGTAATTATTTTGCTTCGTCAGAGAAAGATTAGTGTATATATTTATTCCTGTCTTGATCAGGGATCTCTTCGCGTGTGTTTTTATATAATCATAAACAATACGAAACACGTGTATCTATTATTTTAACGAGTGATCAATATCAAGCTCAAATCCTCATCAATTTTGTATGGTCATTTGTCAACTAATTTGATGACATTACAATGTAAAATGATCTGAAATAAAGATCTTATTCTATAGAAACATTTAGATTAGTCACTTTTGTTTCTGTCGACTATACATTGTGATGCAACACTTACACACACACAAACATGTAATGCCAATAATAATTAATGTATTGATTGAAAATAAGTATATTTGAAATATTAAATTTTAAATGAGATCGGATCCATCTATAGTTCGATATTTAATTGATATTATCTTATGTTGTGTTAAATTATTCATGTGAATTTTTAAAGTGGGTTGTTGTTTTTCATTAATATTTTTCCATGAAATTTAAATGTCTGGAATGATATTTCTGAAGGGGAATAAATAGGAAGATGCAAAATAAGATTAAATGGGAGACCATTTTAATTATTTCAAACATAGACAATTATTATTCATTTTCTTATTTTTTTGTGAATTAGGTGTAAATTCAATTTAAAGTATAACCCCCCCCCCCCCCCCCCTTTTTCCAAAAAAAAAAAAAAAGAAGAAAAAAAAAAGCGATTTATACAAAGAAATGAATGTGCCAGATAATGCAGCTTAATATACGGTATTTTATGTATGCCGCATATTGTGCACTTTCTTAATGCTTTGATTTCCCTCTTTGTGAATCGATAGCCCACTATAGCTTATATGATTAATTATGACGCACTATAAAGTTATGATGAAACAGTAATTGTACAACTGCAGCTGATTTAGATAATAAGTTGCATGGCTGTATGGCAACCTCCTATTGTTATTCTGAACTGATCAATACCGGCTAATGATGAAGTATTGAATTTTATAGATTCCTACACAGCAAGCACAACATTTTAATTGCAACTGTTGATTGACTTTGAATAGTCTTACAAATTTTCTATGCTTCTTTGATTTTTAAAGAAAATTGTAATCCATAGTTAAAGGTTATGCTGTTAGAATACTGGATGTGCCAACTTGAAGTTAACTAAAAATATATAACTAGAACCTACTTGGAATGAATAAATATTAATTATGTATTAAGCATATTTGAATTTCTATATGCTTTTTTTGGAGGACAAATAATGCCGTATTAAGGATAAAGAAGGTCTTATATCATTGTTTATTTAATCAGTCATTTCGATTAAGATATTTGATAATATTGGATATCATTTTTGACGATGTGTTAGATATTCAACAGAACAAGTAATTAGTTATATATATATAGTCATTTTATAAGTTTCCTATAGTATATGTGACATTTAGGAAATATATAATGTGTACCTTAATTCTTTATTAACACATTTGAGACATTGTAATTTTATGTTTTCACATTAACTAAGCGGATGTGAAAGAATGTGGGCGAAGGACTTGGTTTATCAAGAAACAGATTTTTTAGGCGAAAGGCGAATTACAGTCGCTTATAATTCAAAACAATTTAATGTTTACGGTTGGATGTACCCCTTATGGTTTTATGGTATATATGGTCCGCTGAACAAGAAAGTCAACTAGATACCATACCCCTTCTTTCCGATGAAGGAATGCCTTTTTATCTTTTTTCCAGTTGCAATCGAGATCTCCTTGTGCTTATCGATGCATCCTTTAATTTACAGCATGTTGATTTCATTCCAAATGCCATCAATCATGGCTGAATTCAGTGATACATTTTCAATTGAATAATAATTAATTGGTGTAAATTTCATAGCGCAATTTCTGAGATAAATTTTTATTCCATTAGAATTTCAGAATCGCATCAGGTCGACTGAGCTTCACGGGATTCTGTTGTAGTCTGGTAATTAATTTTTCGCTTCATTACTTGTCCACCGTTTTGATCTATAAGAAAACACTACATGTGATTCGCACTATCGAATAATTCCCGTAATTACTGGCTATTTTATAACAGCATTGCTGCTTCATTTAACATGACTAACTTCAGGAGGTGAAGACAATGGTTTGCGATTTTTCATTTATTGAACGGAATTGAATTTGTTGAAGAACGTACAGTATGATCTCGAGTACGGCATCTGACTATCTTTGAGGTGTGGATTAGGCATTTAATGTCTTTTTCATCTTGCAAAATATTGCTTACTGTAACTTTAGATCAAAACCAATAAACCTTTTGTTTACAATTTTCTTTCGGTACAATAGTTTCATACGGTAATTTTTTTCCTCAATGGACGACTATGAAGTGTGTGATACCCGATATTATTGCGCATGACTGAATTCTTTTTTCTGGAATGGCTTTCATCAGGCATGATGAGACCAAAGGTTTTGGAAGCCAAACTATAAAACATTGAAGGGGTATGAAAATCCATAATAGTCAGGAAGGTTAACTTTGCCCGAGGGAGTTGGGTTCTTAGTTGTATATATGGTTGTTGCACTGTTCACGGAATTCAACGAGGTTCTTGTGATACTCTTCACGAACGTGATTGTATAGAACATATGTATTGTATAAACATTTTCTTAAATATAAAAGCATCCGTTTTTATTCGAGGGCAATTATCATCACGAGTAAATCCTTGTACATGGTATGTAGAGTATTTTGTCAAATAATAGTTGTGTGGCAACATCTGTTGTCATTCACATATCCCATCGATTTATTCTTATTCATTTAAGGCTTGAGTATCATTTATCATGCGAAATGAAAGTAAGAGAATATCTGTCAAAACAGTTGCATTTTCTACAGTGTCACTTGTACCGTCAGTAAAACCAATGTTAATTATATATCCATGGACTTGTATATATAGTATATTTGAATTCAAATTATGAAAAAGGAAATGGAACGACTGACAGCGCTTTCACAGTTGATTTTCGTCGTAACATATACAGGAAGGTCTTGTTTTAATAGCATAAATTTCAGCAAGTTTAATATGGCACATAAAGTGCCAATAGAGAGGTGCCTTTTAAACATAAAAAAATATTCTTGAAATTACTTGTATACGGGATTCACACAGTAAATAACGTGTAAATATTTTTTCATCTGTTCTGTGCTCCTGTCATATTTAGGCGACCACAGGCATTGATACACATAGGCATAGTGACCAGTCTAAAGCTAGTTGAGGACAGGTCTAGTCAGTTAAACAAAAGCGTTTTAGCGAGATCTATCCAATAGTCGTGAATATTATTAGGTATGCTTGCATTGTATGTAACTATGTTGTCTGTAAAACGTACATATACATATATACATATGAACTGAATATTTATTATTTAAACATGTAAATCACCATAAAATGATACTTACAATTTAAAATAAAGTCATAATAATATTAATAACAAAAAAATTAATCAGATTGTACTCTATAAGGCGATGAAGATAAATAAGTCAAGTTGATTGCAATTTATAGTTTTTACAAAGACTCCGATTTTTAAGTATTTTTTTCCGTATGATTTTTTTGAAAAACACCTTATGGTCTTAGATACGACATATCGAATATCAATGTAATCTTGCATCAACGGAAACACAAAATTGATTTACAAGTTGTTTTCTTACATACCACTTTAGAAAAAAAAAGCAGAATTATGCTTGTAATTAAAAAAAAAAAAAGAAAGACAACACTTTTCAATTAGCCTTTTTCTATTATAAGAAAATCAATTGGATGAATACTAAATTCCTTTTAAACATAGAACTTATAAAAGTAAGAATAGGTCATAAGCTTTTTACTTGGTAAAAAATAAACGATATGATTGCAAATGAGACAACTATACACCAGAGACCAAAGAACAATGATGTAAGTAACAATCAGTTACTGAACGGGTTTGAAAATTGAAAACCCATACCGTGTAGTAAGCTTTAAAACAATACTAACAGTCTCATTTTAGCTAATAACATTAAGCGAAAAAGTTTTAAACTTTATTTCAACAATTTCAAATAATCAGTCCCTATGAGCAATTTGATGAGCCTACGGACAATTCGATATTGTTTTTAAACATTTAGCGACTGGTATAAATGGGGTTTACCATAATCTGCAATCCCTTAGAGACAAAATTTCTCTTTCTTTCGAATTAGTTTTTCCAGTGTATTGGAGTTCGAAATGGAGGAGATTGAGAAGAAATGGCATTCTTTTTCCCATGTACGTATATCAGAAATTACGTATTTCCCAAAAGACTTTTTTCAAAGGAAGTGATTCGAATCAACGAGTGTGTGATTTTCATATCTGTTTGCAGTGATACTGAGATGTTAATCGACAAGGCACCTATCATCTGAAAATTAGTTGCAGTAAAGCTTAATTACTTCTTTTCTTCAAGAGTGTCTTAGTGAAGCCAAGGTGTTATAATTAGAACATTTAATATTATCGCGAGAATTAATAATCATGTTACCCCTCTGTGGAAGCTAATCAATTGATCTTCGATCCGTCCGTACCCCTCATTTCGCAGTATTATTTTAATTTAAATCAACATTAGTAAACTATGCTTTATGTCTTAACAAATAAAAACAAAACAGAACTTAATATTTACTTGTTACACATTCTTCATTATTTATTACATACCTTTTTATTAATACAAAGTTTGTAATTGATTATTTCTGCAGGTTGCATTGAGATAGAGCATATGTTTTATGTATCTTCGAGACCCGATGGTTTGTTTGAATCATAATGACTTCGTATCGACATTTTTCAAAGGGCATTAGTTTGTGTGTTATAAACATTGATTTTCAGTTTAGGTTATTCTAAAAATCGACTTTTAGTTTAAATATTTATATATACATGTATATAATTTAATATTTGGGTTGACCCTTGAATGAAAC